GTATCAGTATCACCAGTAGTAATACTACTATATGAAAAACAGAAGTAGTAACAGAAATAGTAATACTAGTAGTAGCTGTTGTAATTTCAGTACTAGACCTACTTCTGCTAAACTACTACTACTTCTTTTTCTTAAACTATTTCAATTTTTCACATAGTTGTACTACTACTACTAGTACTAGTACTAGTACTAGTACTAGTACTACTACTACTACTAGTACTAGTACTACTACTACTACTACTACTATATGAAAAACAGAAGTACTAGTAACAGAAAAATAAGTATTAGTACTTCTTACAATCTCAGCAGTAGTTCTACTATTGGTTTTGTACTACTACTTCTCTTTCTTATACTATTTCAATTTTTCACATAGTTACACTACTATACTGTAATACTAGTAGTAGTAGCAATATCATTTGCAATATCATTAGCAAAATAGCTCTACCAGCACTAACTGTAGCAGCCCTAGCTCTTGCTTTACTAGTTCTAGCTTTAGCTTTAGCTCTAGTTCTAATACTATTTCTATTTTCCACATAGTTGCACTATACTGTAATAGCAATACTGTAATATAGCTCTAGCTCTAGCTCTAGCTTTAACTTTCATTATCTTTATCATTAGCTCAGTCATAGCTCTAGCTTTAGTCTTAGCTCCAGTAATAGCTCTACCATTAGCATTAGAATTACTAGCTATATCATTAGCAATAAGTAGCAACACTATTAATATTCAAGCACTAGCTCTAACACACTGGAAACAGCTTTAGCTTTAGCTCTAGCTAGTCATTATCAGTATCAGTAGTACTACTACTTAATGAAAAACAGAAGTAGTAGAAGAAAAAGTAATACCAGTTGTTGTTGTAATTTCAGTACTAAATATACTACTGCTGGACTACTATTACTTCTTTTTCTCAAACTATTTCTATTTTTCACATAGTTGTACTTCTACTAGTACTAGTAGATGAAAAACAGAAGTAGTAGCAGAAAAATTAATAGTAGTAGTAGTTGTAATTTCAGTACTAGATATACTACTGCTGAACTACTACTACTTCTTTTTCTCAAACTATTTCAATTTTTCACATAGTTGATATCTTCAGCTCTAGCTTTAGCTCTAGTACTAGCTCTAAAGCTATAGTAGCTATAGCTCTAGCTTTAGCACTACTAGCTCCATTATCTTTCAATATTACTAGTAGTAGTTTTTAATACAATGAGAAAAATTGAAGTAGTAATAGAAAAAGTAGTACTAGTAGTAGTAGTACCTTTTGTAAATTCAGTACTACTAGAACTTCCACCGCTTCACTACCAATACTGCTTCTACTAGTACTACTATTTCTATTTTCCACATAGTAGTTGTACCAATATTTATACTAGTACTAATTTTACTGTAATCAGCATCACTAAATCTCATATTCTTAAATGCTTTGTAGGCATCAAGGAGGGGATCCCTTTCCAAGTGAACAAATGCAAGAACAACTGATGATTGTTTTGAACCAGCACCATGGTGCAAAATTGAGATAAAAATGCTAGCAAAAAGCCCAGAGTGATAAAATCAAGCTTTCATATGAACAAGCATTGTTGATGTTTAGTCACATGTCACCAGCAATCAGTTTGTTCTTCCTGAGTATCAATAGCTGCCATCTCATTCCCCTAACCTTATTGTTTTGTACTGTTTCTTACAGTTCAAGACCCTAGTAGTACTGGCTCTACCAGGACTAAAAAGACAGGTTAGGAAAGTTTCTTGAAAATCTAAGCACAGACCCCCTCCCTCTTTGAGAACCAGCAATTCCAGTCAGAACCACTTTAGTAATTTTTATGTTTTGACTTCCATGATTAACCAACTAAAATATGTATCCAATGGAAGAAACAAATGATAGCATTAGTAGTAGTACACATTCAAGACATTCTCAATGCTGAAATCCAGAATTCAAAAGCTGTAACAACAGCTCAAGAATCATTATTTCTTACTACTAAAAATTTACCAACTATCAAATTGAAGATACAGCACGAAATATAAGGAGAGGAGGAGTACTAGGATAATCAAATCATGGTAACAACAAGGAGGCTTTTACGTATATATATATATATATATATATAGTAGCAATCACATAAAGGTACTCACTTGACAGATTTACTACTATTCATAACAAAGTGAGTATTTCACTGGAAGTACTTCCACTTCTAAAAGTGGCATTTTGAGTGTCCTGCTCATACTACTACTTTTTTTTTCGGGAATGTCAGTACTAGTTTCTCTCTTTAACATCTTTGTCAATGATGAGAGACAAGAACAATATATATATACCTGTCACATGATCGATGCACTCATTTCTTGGACTTACTACTGCTGGTGCTACTACTATTGATCACAAAGTGAGTCTTCCACTTCAAGTACTTTTACTAGACTACTAGTAAAAGTGGCCCCATCTTGAGTATGCTGCTTGTACTACTACTATTTTTTCAGGAATACAAGAAGTGCTAGTAGTTAACATCATAAAACCATACACGTATATTTATCAATGACGATAAATGGCAATAACATATTCATTTGTTAAATCAAGAAAGAAGTAGCTATCCTCTTGAGAAATCTGTTTTACAGGTGTAACCTCCAAGTACAGTGACCAAATTCCACTATATGCTGTGCTACAATTGCAATCTTAGTCCTCTTCAGGATTTTCTATACATGAGCAAATTTAATAATCATCTCATATGTTTCTTTTGATTCTGCAAGTGCAGGACGGTGTGACGCTCATAGTTAATAATTAGTAGTAGCAAGTGATTGACCCATAACCTCACTCTTTAATATGATAAACATGTAGTTACACAGCACAACTACTAGTAAAGAGCACATGTACATTTTGCAGGGTCCTACCTACCACCAGCAGTAGATACATAACAGTAAAGAACAATACAAAATATGTATGAGTACTTCTAGTAGTTACTACTTCATACAGTAGTACAGTAGATTTGGGTTGCTAGTAGTAGTACTAGTAGTAAGTAAAAAGCAATAATCTGAAAAGGTTTTAGATGATATCTATGAAAGCACTGGTGGTGTGGCTATTTGTTGTTGCTGAATCTGGAATTTCTCTGTATTTTCTTGTTTTGTCAATCTGTAGTTCCTCCTGGTTCAACAAGGCCAATCTGGTAATCTGACATTTATATTTTTTGAGTGTGAGGTTTTGAGAAACTCGGTAAATATGCCTCTGCAAAAATGCCGCCAAATAGAATGGATTTCTTTTGATTTTCTAGTACCACCAACCCCTGACGATAGATTGTACTAGCAGATGAACTGCTGCTCTTTATTGTTCATGGTGGTTGCCTTTAGAAGTTTTATATGTTTGTTGTTGTGGCAATAACCAATGAATCTGCCTCGAATATTTTTTTTTGATTGTTGATCAGGTGAATGCAGAAACATTTGATGAAATTTTAAAAGAAAAGCAGCAACAATCTGGCTAAATGCATTTTCTTGTCCTTGTCACCATGTTGAAAATTCAACTTCTTCTTTGCATAGTACTACTACTACTAGTTCCAGCTAGTAGTGTCTGATATTTTCCAAGCTTCCAGAAAATATTTTTTTTTCATAGCTTCTGCTGCATGATTGTCAGTCTCCTCCTCATGGAGGGTGACAACATGAAAAGGTTTGTGTGGAATTTGATACAACAAAACACTTCTTGGTAGTAGCTCATTACTAGTAGGTTCTTCTTATACTAGTATATTTTGGTTGAGGAGATTTTGTTGTTGTGTATGGTGGCTGCTGCTTGTTGTCATGATCTGTAGACAAAACCAAGTCGTCACCTAGTACTAGTAGTAGACCTGCTGTTATTTGCAAAAAATGAGACACTGGTGGGGTTTACACGGATTCTACACTACTACTACTAGTACTAAGAACAAGTTTCTTTTTGTTTCCCACCAAAGTCCAGGGCAGATAGAATGCTTCAAGGTCAGTGGCTACTACCATGCACAAAAGATGGTGGTACTACTAGTAGTCCAGTGCACCATACTAACCAATAGAAGTAGCTACAGTACTCATTCTCCATAGTATGCGCGATTCCTTCGCGCCACCGGTATGTTCCTCACTCATACGGTAGTTTGATTGACGCCAACTTGCTCATGGTACGAGTATGAGTACATAATCATACGAACGTTCGTGACACGAGAACATCACCATGGGAAGCCTGTGTTACGTCTTTCGGCGTCACAAAGTCCGAGTTCGTTTGGAAAATTTTTCGCTTCCTACGGTACTGTTACTGTTGCGTTTTTACCCTTCCCATTCCCCGCCGACGGATCTCGAAATGCATTCTAGCGCGTTAGGAATGAGGTACGAAACCCGATGCGAGACACCGAGTGGGCGATGCCGATCGATACTCCACGAGGGACGCCGAACAGGATCCGGCCCCGCGAGAAAGTGCAACACACCGTTCGCAGCGGATCGCTGTTGTTGCGAAACGATCCTTCCAAAACGACCGAATCCCCCCGCTTCGATTGCGGTGCAATTGCAATGCGGTGCAATTGCAATGCGGTGCAATGGTGCTCCCGGACGCAACAAACCACCAGATTCGGTGGGGCGTGCAAACCGCCGCACGGTGCGAGGTTCCGCGGTTGCATTGCAAGAGAACGATGCCGTTGGGCGATTCGGAACGGCGTTCGCCACTCCGTCCCACCCGCCACGCTACGCTACGCCACGCCACGAGCAGCAACCCGTCCCGGAACTCGATTTCGTGTATCGAAATTAATCATCCATTAAGGAAAATAACCAAACAAGTCAATCGACCATGGTGAAACCAACCAAAAACACCAACTCCTCCTCATCACGACATCGATATTCATATCAATCATGTCGCAGTCTTACCCTCGAGAACAAATTCAAGAAGAGTGACATTGAGAAGGTTTCCCTTTTTGTGGATCATCCAGCTAGAACAGAGACTACCGGAAGAGGATCCAATCTATGAACAATCCAAATCCCTGCAATGAGAAGAAAAAGAAACTGCCCAGTTTTCTCCGGACAATATGGAGTACAGGAATTGTTCTTTATTCAGGAAGCTTTTGAAGACGCAGCGGATGATTTGAAACTGAAGGATGAACACGCGTCTTGTTTTCGGCCGGGTCCGCAACGCGGGACGGTAGCAGGGCCGCCGGTGTACCGGCACGGCCGTGGATCGGAACACCCGGGTGCGACGAAAACAACAACGACAACAACAACGACGGCAACAAAGGATTGCGAACCAGCGATTCCGCCACGGACGGAACCGGCTCGGTCAGAGCGCCGCCACCCGCCAATCCTCCTCGCTGCCCGTTCTCGCGGCGCAAACCACGACGCTTCGAGCCACAAAAAAGACGAACGAACGAACGAACGAACGAACGAACGAACGAACAGGCTGGCGGGCTAGATTGCTAGCGTCCGACTTTTTTTTGTCTGCTAGAGATGGATTGGTGCCACACGAGGCGCACAAAAGACGAACCCGTGCCGCTATGCCCGGGAGTGCACCAAACGAACGACGCAACGCGTTCTCGCATCCCCGCCACGCCACGATCGGGCTGCTCCCGACTCGGATCGGATTCGTTTCGTTTTGTTTCGTGGATTTGTCGCCATCCTCTCCCTCGTCTCGATTCTCTGACGGGGAGAGTGCAAGGAGACGGCCACAAAAATGCTTTCGAAACAAACGCTTGGTAAACAAACAAAAACGAACGACCGCAAAACGACCACGGATATGTTTTGTCACACGAGAAAAATGCTTGCACGGATGCCCATGATTGCTGACAAATATTTTGAATATTTACATGGATATCACTAGCCGTTGCCCGGATGAACGGATTGTCTGTCTGTCTGCTGTGGCTCGTCGGATCCACCGTCGCACTCCCCGGGTTTCTCCGACCAAACGAGTCTCGGATCGTTGCTTGTGGCGGGTGGTTTGACCACCAAGAAGACGCATCGGTCCCGCATCGTGCCTCGGTGGCCCGAATCAAAAACAAAAGTTGCACGTTACGGGACACAGATCCCCGACCATCATCTCCATGGATGCCATGTTGGTGCAGGAGGGCTGCTGGTCCTTGTTTACGTTCTTGCACCGGAATTTTCCTTGAAAGTCGTTGTCCCTGTTGGGTTTGATCTGGAAGGCGGTCTTGTCCTTGCAAAAGCAACGGCGGTCGCAAATCCCGGGGCAGGCCTCCTTGGCTTTTTCCTTCCTGCACACTCTTTTTCTCTTCTTGCTGCCGAAGTTTTTCAGCTCTATGCAGGTGATCGTTTTGCCCTTCATTTGGAAATCTCTCCCAATGCTGCAAAAAGGGTTGGCAACCAGATCATCAGCTTCAGGTCCAGGTTCCCCAATGCAGAATTCACTTTCAACTTGACACCAGGGTCCTAGTGATGGATCTGGATCCATTTGCTGGGGACAGCCACTATCTTTAAACATCTCTTTTAAGACAACATCCACTGGAGTCTTCACGGCCCATGTTGAGAGACATTGATCAAAACTGGTTGCATTGCGAAACATCCCAAACATATTGTCGACACTAAAGACATCCCAAACGTCAATGGGTTGATTGAAACTAGAAGCCCTGTCAAACATAAGCACCATTGTTCCGACGCTCGACACATTCCATTTGTCAAGGGGCTGGTTAAAACTTGATGCCTGAGCAAACATACCAGCCATAATTTCTACCTTTGACACATCCCAGTCACCAATGGGTTGGTTGAAACCAGCATTGCCAACAAACATCCAACGCATATTTGTCACGCTAGAGACATCCCAGTCACCAATGGGTTGATTGAACTGGTGGTCTCCTCCTGGAAACATGACTGCCATGTCTTGCACACTCGAGACATTCCAATTGCCAATGGGCTGGTTGAATGCAAAAGTGCCATCAAACATACCATACATGTTTGTCACACTGGACACATCCCAATCACCAATGGGTTGATTGAAATTTTGAGCAAGAGAAAACGTATATTCCATGTCTCTCACTCTGGACACATCCCAATCGCCAATGGGCTGGTTGAAAGAAGGCTGGGCAAAAAACATAGAATACATGCTTGTCACACTTGATACATCCCAGCAATTCAGGGGCTCGTTGAAGGATCCTGGCCAAAATTTACGTGCTGCAAAGGCATTGGACATATCAGTGACACGCGATGTGTCCCAGCAGTTCAGTGGAAGATCATATGGGCAAAACCATGCGTTGGGACCACACTTGCTAATAAGGGCTCGAAAGTCGGAACCAGAAACATTGATGACGGGGCGTCCATTGGGACAACTGTCAGCACAAGTAGAGAGGATATCTGGACCTGGACCTGGAGTTGGTGCCGGAATATCATCATCTTCAGGTCCTGGATCTGGAGCAATGCAGAATTCACTGTCAACTTGACACCAGGGTCCTAGTCTTGGATCTGGATCCATTTGCTGGGGACAACCACTATCTTTAAACATCTCTTTTAAGCCAACATCCACTGGAGTCTTGCTGGCCCATGTTGAGAGACATTGATCAAAACTGGTTGCATTGCGAAACATCCACATCATAGTGGTGACACTTGAGACATCCCAAAGGTCAATGGGTTGATTGAAACTGTAAGCCCTGTCAAACATAACCGCCATTTCTCCGACGCTCGACACATCCCATTTGTCAAGGGGCTGGTTAAAACTTGATGTATCAGCAAACATACCACTCATACTTTTTACCTTTGACACATCCCAGTCACCAATGGGCTGGTTGAAACCAGGATTGGGCATAAACATAGAACTCATATCTGTCACCCTCGAGACATCCCAGTCACCAATGGGTTGATTGAACTGGTGGTCCCATCCTGGAAACATTTCAGACATATCTCTCACGCTCGAGACATTCCAATTGCCAATGGGCTGGTTGAATGCAACAGTGTCATCAAACATCATTCTCATGTTTGTCACACTGGACACATCCCAATCACCAATGGGCTGATTGAATTTGTCACATTTATCAAACATGTTGCCCATGTCTCTCACTCTGGACACATCCCAATCACCAATGGGCTGGTTGAAAGAAGGCTGGGCAAAAAACATACCATACATGCTTGTCACACTTGATACATCCCAGCAATTTAGGGGCTCGTTGAAGGATCCTGGCCAAAATTTACGTGCTGCAAAGGCATTGGACATATCAGTGACACGCGATGTGTCCCAGCAGTTCAGTGGAACATCATATGGGCAAAACCACTCATTGGGACTACACTTGCTAATGAGGGCTCGAAAGTCGGAACCAGAAACATTGATGACAGGGCGTCCATTGGGACAACTGTCAGCACAAGTAGAGAGGATATCTGGACCTGGACCTGGAGTTGGTGCCGGAATTTCTTCAGGTCCTGGATCTGGAGCAATGCAGAATTCACTTTCAACTTGACACCAGGGTCCTAGCGATGGATCTGGATCCATTTGCTGGGGACAGCCACTATTCCTAAACATTCTTGTCACAGTAACATCCACCGGAGTCTTGCTGGCCCATGTTGAGAGGCACTGATAAAAACTGGTTGCATCAACAAACATCTCATTCATGTTTTTCACGTTCGACACATCCCAAAGGTCAATGGGCTGATTGAAACTTTTTGCGTTGGCAAACATCAGGTTTGTGTCTGTAGCGCTTGACACATCCCATTTGTCAAGTGGCTGGTTAAACCTTATTGCATCAGAAAACATGTCGTCCATGTTTCTCACCCTTGACACATTCCAATCACCAATAGGTTGATCAAAACTTTCTGCGGCAGATAACATCTCACCCATTAGTTCCGCGCTAGACACATCCCAATCACCAATGGGCTGGTTGAAAGCA